CAAACTCTCTCTTCTCTTTTTTATACCCCTTTTTCTTTCTTCCAAAATAGTGGGAGTCCTTCATTTGTCTTCTTATTTTTATTATGTGGCAGGCAAACTATGAAGATCTACGTTGGTGGGGTCTCTTCAATCAGTATTTTGCATGAAAAAATCACTGGAAAATCAAAGGTCTCTCTATTGCCTTTCTTCTTTTCTATTTCTGTGTTTTCCTCTGCTTGCTACTTTTATGTTTCTACTCATGAACTTGGGTAATTTTGGCATTAACAATTGATTTATTAACAATGAGTTAGCTTGTATCATTGGGACTATTTCATTTTATTAGAGGTGATAAGATTAAAAGAGTTTTCAGTTAATCGCTCACAACAGTGCTTGCATGACCACCCTCCTAGGAAAGCAAATATTGAACCCACAGTACTCCAATCCAGGGGCAGTTCCTTGTGGCCCTGGAATAAACATCCCTCACAACACTGCCAAACTGAAAGTGAATATAAATAATAGAAGTAAATGAGGATGCTGGTATTGAGTAAACTAAACAAACTCAAGCATTTATAGTGAGAGGGAACCTTCAAAGTTTTATCTAGATAGCGAGTATAATCAAACCAGAGATTGCTTGATATAGGAAATTCAGTTATAGCACGTTCATACAGAATCTGAACTTGAGCTGGATCTCCAGAAGACTGTTCAAATTTCAAGTAGCTCTACAACAAATAATCATAGTCCTTTTTCCATTCTGCGCTGGTTTGATTATACTCGTTATCTAGATAAAACTTTGAAGGTTCCCCTCACTATAAATGCTTGAGTTTGTTTAGTTTACTCAATACCAGCATCCTCATTTACTTCTATTATTTATATTCACTTTCAGTTTGGCAGTGTTGTGAGGGATGTTTATTCCAGGGCCACAAGGAACTGCCCTGGATTGGAGTACTGTGGGTTCGATATTTGCTTTCCTTGGAGGGTGGTCATGCAAGCACTGTTGTGAGCGATTAACTGAAGACTTTTTTAATCTTATCACCTCTAATAAAATGAAATAGTCCCAATGATACAAGCTAACTTATTGTTAATAAATCAATTGTTAATGTCAGAATTACCCAAGTTCATGAGTGAAACATAAAAGGTAGCAAGCAGAGGAAAACAACGGTTGGCTCCACCAATAAATATATATGTATTTTTTTAAAAAAAAGGACAAATGAAACAGAAATAGAAAAGAAGAAGAAAGGCAATAGAGACCTTTGATTTTCCAGTGATTTTTTCATGCAAAATACTGATTGAAGAGACCCCACCAACATCACTGAAGAATTGACGTAGATCTTCATAGTTTGCCTGCCACATAATAAAAATAAGAAGACAAATGAAGGAGTCCCACTATTTCGGAAGAAAGAAAAAGAGGTTTTGTGTTACATTGTTAGCCTTGAGTTTGTATTTCATGCAGTATGCACTATACCTTTCTCTTTGCCATATTCATGTACTGATGGGATCCAAAGATTCCAGTATTCCACACATCTCCAAGCAAAACTAAGGTGAAAATGTGTAGCTTTTGGAAATCCCAAGCAGCTCCGCCTTGCTGCAAGATACATAAAAAGGAAAAATATATAGATCGTGTGCATCTGCATCCCTTAAAACTGAAAGTCGTTACTTTGATTAAGTCAAAAATCTCAGCTCCACTTGAACCTCAATCCTGCAATAATCAGGCTATTTCATTATCCCTGAACTCATCATCTCCAGAACCTCTATACCATTTCTTCTGGTACCCAAAACTGGCATAAACACTGCATTATATAATACCACAAACTTTGCAGCATTTTCTGGATTCAATTCAAAGTATTTATTTGCTGCAATCTTAATCTCTTTTCACATGACAAGAAATAAAGGCAACCTTTCATCCACATTGGCTACCAGCAGAAAGAATAGCTAGAAAGGCAACATAGTTTGGTTGGTCTAAAACCTTTATACTCCATCCCTTATAATCAAAGACAGATAAAAAACAGAGTTCCTGAACTACAATGTACAATAAAGCAGAAACTATTGGAGAGGGAGGAAGCCCCCAATATCACGGCCTGGCTCCCATTTAATAGTTGAAATTGTACATATCGGAATAGTGTGGGATGCCCAACACTTTTTCACTTCTTCGAAAATAAAAATTCAAAGAGAATATCTTCTGCCTTCCAAAAACAAAACAAAACTCAAAGCCTGAAGCGGGTTACAGAACGTAGAAGGCGCAAACCTCCCACTTTTGCTCTCGGCTTGGATTCTACAAAGCAGCGTCGTCGTTTTCCTTGCAAACTTGGGGCCTACGATCACATGAATCTAGCCGGACGGTGGTGAGGTGAACTGGGACGCCTCTGTTTGCATATTTCTGTTTGAAATTGAATAGATTGGGGCCATCAGTGACGGTAATCTGGGGTCTAAATAGAGAAACTTGGGGTTTTGGAGAACCCATGGATTGCAAAGCTTGGAAAATTTTGAAGCTGAACAGAAAAAAGCGTTCTTTGAGAGGTAAAGAGAGAGCGGTGAAACTGCTGGGAATACAAGGGACTTCATTCTCAAAATAGCTAGCATTGACCCCTTTTTCAGAGGAGGAGGATTAAAGCGTTGCTCTTGTTTACAGAGTGAAACTGAGAACTGGGTTACTGATTATATAAAATTTTAGGGTTTAAGGGTCAGACTCTTGAGAGAAATTCAAAGTTGAGGAATGATTCTCCAACTTTAAAGAAGATTAAACAAAGATTAAAGAAGAAAACCAACAAAACCTAGACCCAAATCCCAAATCCAACAAAGATTAAAGAACAAAACAAAGAAAACCTAGACCCATCAAAATTGGACTACAAATCCTTTGTTGTCAGCCTACGCTGTGCATCGAAGGTCTACAACCAAAGATCTTCTCAAACATCAACCACAACTCCATATTTGTTGAAAAGGGTGGTACTGTGCAACTGAAGAGATGGGATTTGTTGGGTTCTAAATTTGATTTTTGGGCAAAGAAGAAAGGAAGGAGGAAGAGAAAAGGTCAATCCAATTAAATCTATAAATTTTAAATTTTTCTCTAGTCAAGGTTGGTCATCCCTCCTCCTTTTTGCGACCATCATTGTTGCATCCTACCCTTCCTTCTCTGTATAATTACTCAAAATCTCCACTCTCAACCCCACCTCTACCTTCAACGTCACCATCAACATAAACCCTGACATCACCTCTAAAATCCCTAAAAATGGGTTCCCCTGCGCAAACTTGAGGCTGGTTGACATGATGAGCTCAAGCATTTTTGGAAAGGGACAAAAGTCATAGGGTTGGAGATGGAAGAAGAGAACGAAGGCAAATCTAGCTTTGTTGCTAATTTTGTTCTTTGACAAAGAACCTAGGAATTGGATTGGAATGGAAGAATGTAGAAGAAAAGGGAAAGGATGGGGAAGGAGAGGCATAAGCCAATGAGGGTGGATTTGTTAATTAATCTAAAATTAAAATTAATTTAGTTATTTAAGTCAATTTGTCTAACGTGGCCAATGCTTTTTTTTCATGTCATTCGTTTACCCATACCACTAACCCTATGTGTAAACTTGGGAGGTGCAAGTTCATTAGCAAATATATGGGTTTGTGATTCTGCAACGTCAAAATCCAGTTTCCCACCAGAACCTGTAATAATTCAATTCTGAATTATAATAATTCATTTTTGTTGATTTTAAGATTGCTTCTAATCGTGAAAGGCAACAGGAAAAGGAGCGTGGGAGGGAAGGTACCAATATTTATGCTTTGTACCTTTAAGAGTACTACTTTGCATTCTATAGCTGGTCTTCCAGGTGCATAGATTTTTCAAATCTTAATCATTTAACCAGCTGATTCAGCTTATCATTGATTTTAATCTTGCTGATAGTCATTTAGTTTGTTATTAAACACTGATTTTTAATTCTACACTTGATGGTGGATTCGACCACCCTGAACTACTTCAATAACCAAAGTCTTGTTTGGATAAATGATTTTGGCTTCTCCATTTCTTCCTCTTGGTTGCTGTCCAAATTTTAATCAAGAAACTGAAGCATACTTAATATTACAAGAATATAAGGTGTAGGAAAAGATATCATGGTCACCAGAGCAATAAAGAGGACTCTGCAAAAGACTCGGTAATTATTGAATGACCTGCTTTCCTTCTGGCTTTACTAAGTATTGAATTGCTTCTAGCTATCTTTTCTGCTTTTTTTTCCTGATTAATCCAAGCAATTGGAGGCTAGTACACATGGCCCTGCTATCTTAGTTGATTTCATTTTGCCTGTTTTAGATTGTAAATATGCTAGGTTGCTGAAGAATGATTTCGTAGAAGTATTAGAAGACTGGTCCTTCACTTTCTATGAAGGACTTAATAGACAAACAGACTCTATCTTTCAGGACAAGACCGTTGCATTAAGTGTGAATAAGATGGATCTAGTGACCAAAATCATAGAGAGCAACACAGTAGGCTGTGTTGTCCTAGTTTAAGAAAAAAATGAAGTCCTTTAATTTCTGAGTTATTTCAAAGCACCCATTGCCAATCATTTCAATGAACTCAGTATTCCCCACGCTGTGATTCCGGTCATGCACATTTTGATAAAGTCAAATAATTTTGATTGGCCAGCCACTTTCTTGTGGCTAGGAATAAGAGTTTAGTAGTG